CTACCTACCTACCTACCTACCTACCTACCTACCTACCTACCTACCTACCTACCTACCTACTCTCTCTCTCCCTACCTACCTACTGTATATCTCTATCTATTTCTCTAACTACCTACCAACTTTTTAAAAAAATTGCCTCTTCAAAACCTTGGTGCGTCTTATACTCCGAGGCATCTTATACTCCGAAAAATACAGTAGATGTTTGTTTCTCCTACAATTAAAATACATTTTTAAAAGGTAAGGTCAGTTTTATGCCTAATGTGCTCTCAAAGGCTCCAGGTTTTATTTTCAGTGTTTTTAATTTTTGCAGATAATGAAGGTTTGGCGACTGATCAGCTGACAACTACAGAGAAAGTAGCATTGAAGAATTCAGTAAATGCAGAAGCAGTTTGGGAATATCCATGGCAGTCAGACAAAGTTGTGACCAATCTTTCAGTACCCCACCAGGATGGGAACATTTCTGTAAAAGATGAAGAAGCAAATAGCCAAAGTTCAAAACAAATTAATAACCACGACAACCAAAACAAAAATCTGTACTTTTGTGATGTAAGGCTTAAGAAGGACTTTCAGCAACCATCTCTATTTGCCCAACATAAAAATGTGTTCTGTCCAAGTAAAGTGCTCATGCAGAACAAGCAACTTAATTGGGATCAATTGGAAATTGGCAGCCCATACCAGCCAGACCAGAACAGACAAACTAAAAATTGTTCAATAGGTGATCAATGTGGAGAAAATAACCAAAGTCTATCCTACCTTCCCCAATATTGTAAAAATATTCTTCTAAAGGAAAACTCGGCTTGGCAGCATCAAAACTCCCAATCAGAAGCAAGCAGTCTGATATCAGAAGCATGCAATCAAAGCACTTTAGTACCTGTTCCTCTTCGGGCAGAGAATATAATAGAATATATTGATGAAGCAGTTGGTCCAAATCCAATACAAGTGACAGACCAGAGAACTGAGACTAAACATCTTCATATTTGTGACCAGTGTGGAAAAGAATACGAGTGGCTTTCGGAGCTTATCCAGCATCAGCTATTTTTTGGAGGAGAAGCAGATAGACAGTGCCAGCTTCATATGGAAGGTAGAAATCCAAGTCATTTAGCACCTGTCCCTATTCTCTTCCAGGGAAACAATATGTGTGCAACCTCTTGGGAAACTTTCCAACAAAAGTCAAGGTATCATAATACTCATGCCAAGATTGGAAAGGATTTCTGCAGGTTCTCTCTACCCAAGAGGCATACACTACCTAGGGAGGAACTGACTAGACAGAATGAGTCAAAAATAAATAAATCTAGTACCTTGTCATTTGTCCCCCTTGTGAGAAGAAATACATTTGCAGACTCTTGTGAAATGTCTAACGTAAATTCAATGCTTACACGTTCTTACACAGGGAAACAACACAGTGACCAATGTGGAAGATGCTATCACTGTCTTTGTGCTCAACAGCATCTTGATAATTTTGAATTGAAATCAGATACAGATGAACTGTTCAATTTGGGAGCATACTGTCCAAAAAGTTTAGTGCCCATTCCTTCGTTAGCAGAGAAAATATTCAGTGAAAACTCAAAAATCCCCATAGAACAAAAGAACTATGCTAAGAATCTGAACACATTTAACTGTGATAAGAACGATTTCCAGCGTCATTTGTTGACCAAACATCATCTACATGTTCCCTTGGGAGGGGAAGCAGACATACTGGACCAACTTAAAATACAAGCAGGCAGTTTAAGTCAATTTCAAATAGAAAGAAAAGTTATAGAATCTTCTGAATCAGTTAAACCTCAATCAAATCTCACAACAAACCAAGGTTTCCAAATTAAGACGGAATGTGAGAAGGATTTCCAATGGTCCTCTGCCCTGACTCAACATCAAGTTGTGAACTCTGGGAAAGTTAATTGGAAACAATGCCCATCAAAGGTAGATGATCAAAATGATTCATCACCTGATCTCATGGATCTTGACCAACCTGCCCATCTGAAGACAAACCAATTGACTGAGAAACACAAACCCTATGCGTGTGGTCACTGTGGTAAAAGCTTCAAGTGGCCTTCTGGCCTTGTTCGACATGAACAGACTCATTATAGAACAAAACTAATAAAAGGCAAGTGCACTAAGCTCAACAAATCATATATTTGTGGACACTGTGGGAAAACTTTCCAGTGGCCTGAGCTTGTCCAACATAAATACATGCATTCTAGAAAAAAATTACTGCGAGCCAAGGACACCAAACCCAACAAATACTACACACGTAGCCAATGTGGAAGGAGCTTCCAGTCGCTTTCTCAACTTGCCCAACATGAACACACTCATTCCAGAAGTAAATTAGTGAGCAGAAAGCTCAAGCCCAAACCCCATATCTGTAATCAGTGTGGAAAAGGCTTCACGTGGCCTTCTGACCTTGCCCGACATCAACAGACTCATTCTAAAAAAATAATATTGAAAGGCAAGGGCATCAAACTCAAGAAATACTACACCTGCAGTCAATGTACAAAGAGTTTCCAGAGGCCTTCTCAACTTGCCCAACATGAACACACTCATTCCAGAAGTAAATTAGTGAGCAGCAAGCTTAAGCTCAAATCCCATATCTGTAATCACTGTGGAAAAGGCTTCACATGGCCTTCTGACCTTGCCCGACATCAACAGACTCATTCTAAAACAATAATATTGAAAGGCAAGGGCATCAAACCCAAGAAATATTACACACGTCAATGTACAAAGAGTTTCCAGAGGCCTTTTCAATTTACCCAACATGAACACACTCATTCCAGAAGTAAATTAGTGAGCAGCAAGCTCAAGCTCAATAAATCCTGCATCTGTGATCAGTGTGGAAAAAGCTTCAAGTGGCCTTCTGACCTTGCCCGTCATCAACAGACTCACTCTAAAAAAATAATATTGAAAGGCAAGGATATCAAACTCAAGAAATACCACACATGTAGTCAATGTACAAAGAGTTTCCAGAGGCCTTCTCAACTTGCCCAACATGAACACACTCATTCCAGAAGTAAATTAGTTAGCAGAAAGCTCAAGCCCAAACCCTATATCTGTAATCAGTGTGGAAAAGGCTTCATGTGGCCTTCTGACCTTTCTAGACATCAACAGACTCATTCTAAAACAATATTGAAAGGCAAAGGCATCAAACTCAAGAAATACTACACCTGTAGTCAATGTACAAAGAGTTTCCAGAGGCCTTTTCAACTTGCCCAACATGAACACACTCATTCCAGAAGTAAATTAGTGAGTAGAAAGCTCAAGCTCAATAAATCCTGCATCTGTGAACAGACTCACTAAAAAAATAATATTGAAAGGCAAGGACACCAAACCCAACAAATACTACACATGTAGTCAATGTACAAAGAGTTTCCAGAGGCCTTCTCAACTTGCCCAACATGAACACACTCATTCCAGAAGTAAATTAATGAGCAGCAAGCTCAAGCGCAAACCCCATATCTGTAATCAGTGTGGAAAAGGCTTCATCTGGCCTTCTGACCTTGCCCGACATCAACAGACTCATTCTAAAACAATAATATTGAAAGGCAAGGGCAAGAAACTCAAGAAATATTACACACGTGGTCAATGTACAAAGAGTTTCCAGAGGCTTTCTCAATTTGCCCAACATGAACACACTCATTCCAGAAGAAAATTAGCATCAAGCTCAACAAATGCCATATCTGTAATCAGTGTGGAAAAGGCTTCACATGGCCTTGAGACCTTGCCCGACATCAACAGACTCATTTTAGAAAAATAATTTTGAGAGGCAAGGGCATCAAACTCAACAAATACTACACATGCAGTCAATGTAGAAAGAGTTTCCAGAAGCCTTCTCAACTTGCCCGACATGAACAAATTCATTCAAGAAGTAAATTAGTGAGAGGCAAGTATACCAAGCTCAACAAATCCTATATATGATCAGTGTGGAAAAGGCTTCACATGGCCTTCTGACCTTGCCAGACATGAATGCACTCATTTTAGAGTAATGTCACACAGAAATAAACTCATGAAGCTTCAAAAGCTTTTTGTGTGGTGTGGAAAGAACTTCCAGGGGTTAGTCTCCCATTGTTCAACTTAAATGCTCTTATTCGGGGAAAATAATGACTAGAAGCAAATGCACCAAGCTCAGGAAGCTGCACACCTGTTATGGAAGTGGAAAAAGCATCCAGTGGCCTAAACCTGTTGAATATCAGTGTGTTCATTCCAGAAAAAAAATTAAGGCAGAAATGTATCAAACTCAAGAAATTACACAGTAAAGTTACAGTTACATTGGGAAACTCAAGAGGTAGCATTACCTTGTCCAGCATATCCATGTTTATTCCAAAATAAAATTAATAAAAGGCAAATGTACCAAAGCTTCTGGTGTCCTGTTTTTTCCAGACATGAAAAGATTCACTCCTAAAGAAATGTTAGCCAGTGACAAATATATTAAGCTCGAGAAATTCTCTTTGTCTTCTGTATGAAAAAAGTCTCCAGTAACTGCCTGAAGCTTTCTAACAATAAATCTGTCAAGATTCATTCCAGGAAAAAGTAATAATGGGTTTAGCCTGCCCATTTGTCCCAGCAGAAGGACTTACTGCAGACCCTGTCAAGGAAATTTGGCTGGTAGAGTTGAGGAGAGCCTTTTCTATTGTGGTTCCCACCCTGTGAAATAATCTATTGCCAGTGAGATCTACCCCTATACTCTGGCCTTCCAGAAAGGCCTTAAAACCTGGTTTTGCCAGCTACAGTATTGGGGATTCTCTTTGGTGGAGAAGATTGACCCAGTAAGAAGAATACCTCATATCCTTGGTTTTAGTTCTTATATAAGTCATTTAATTTTTAAATTATATTTTTTAAAGAAATATTTTTCAGAAAATATATTAATTTTTAAATCTTAATTTTAAAGAGCCATGGTGGCATAGTACTGCTGGCTAATTTAGCTCACTGTCAGGAGTTATGTCCTCCGTGACTCAAGGTTGACTCAGCCTTCCATCCTTCTGAGCTTGGTAAAATGACCCAAATTGATGGAGGCAGTATGCTGACTCTGTTAACCACTTAGAGAGGGCTGTAAAGCACTATGAAGCGGTTTATAAGTTTTAAGTGCTATTGCTTTTGCTAATTTTAACTCTTTTATGTCTTATCTTTGTTGTTTTATAAGCTGCCCTCTCATACTTTTGTTGAGATGGCCAGCATATACATTTATTAAACAAGGCACAAATACCTCAAACTCAAGAAAAAACCATATGGTTGCTATGGAAAAAGCATTCTATTGGCATCCTGGCCTTGTCTAATAGAAGTGCAGTCCTTAAGTACGTCTTTTGATTGCTATTTGGTTAAACATGTTCATGGGGTGCAGATTTAAATTATGCCATTTGTTGGTATTCATTCATGTTTTGTTCAGCTACTGAAGCACCAAAAAGCTGATAAGAAAAGCGATGAAGTAGAAGAGAAAGAAGGTAGCCGAATAACAAAAATGCATATGGGAAATGATCTCTGTCTCCTGTCTTTCCATAACAACTTCTGGACAGCACTGCAAAGCTTATGCTCATATAACAATTTGTGAAAGAGGAGGATGTCGTACTACAGATGCTGAGCTTTGTAATCTTCCTCTTCCAAATAGGATTTATAAAATTAAATTCACAGAAATTGCTTCTGATTTCTCTCTGATAGGAAAGCAGGTACTGTATTATCTACTTTTTGTGTTAACTTCATAACCAGCATCAAGTTTGAAATCTATACTGAATTCTTTTGAACAAGTCAAAATTAAATCTGATCCTAAGTGTCACAAGTGGAAGGATCCAACAAATGTTATGAAGGATGATGCTTCAGTCATCACTACCTGGTTAAGCCTAATTTTTGGCCAAAGAATTCGAAATGGCCTCATTGCTCAAGTTGATAGGTTCACCTAGCATTCCAATTTGTGGGAAGAGCAAGCTTCCTGCTTAACCCAGATGATCCAATGCTCCTTCAGTGATTGAGTATCTGTGCAACCACTGGATAGAGAACCATAATTCCAGGTATAAAAAACAGGTGATCTAGCATTTCTACTATCCAGGCATCATTAGCTTTATAAACTCTTAGCATTTTTCCATGCAGTTTTCATATCTGCACATGCATTCATGGTTCATATACCACACTTTTCCTGTTAATTCTTCACAAAAGTCAAGATCAGTAAAAAAGATATACAAATACTTGTATTTGCAGATCCTGTACTCTAGATCAGTGTTTTTCAACCTTTTTTTGTGCAAAGGCACACTTTTCATGAAAAAAATCACGAGGCACACCACCATTAGAAAATGTTAAAAAAAATTAACTCTGTGCCTATATTGACTATATATAAAGTAATTTTCCCACGGCACACCTTACACTATGCCACGACACAGTGGTTGAAAAACACTGAGATAGATGATAGATAGATAGATAGATAGTTGTTTTCTGAGGTTTTCGCGGGTGTTAGTATGTAGGTCTCTAGTTGTTCGGGTTTTCTCCCGCGTAGAATTGGAGATGTCTTGGCGACGTTTCGACGAAGTCTCATTCGTCATCTTCAGGCGGCTTCAGACTACTTCAGGTTTGGTGTTTCCAGGAGTGTGTATGTATGTATGTGTGTGTGTGTATGTATGTATGTGTGTGTGTGTAT